ATGATGACGTTTCATTGGTCCAAGCCATGATGACCATTTTACATGGCTAGAAATCACGGACATGATTTGTTTTAGTTCCTTACTAATTTGCATATCACGTTGAAGTATATTATGCACTGAACTATATAACATGGAAGTCTGACTCGAGCTCAAAAAGTGAAGCCAACATGGCGGAATTTGAAGGCATTCTTGCGCGTCATTCTCAGTCCCCTTACGTGCGCGGTCAACAAAACTTTTATATTTTTCTTTACTTTCCGAGTAAAAATCTGGTGAAAAACAGACGAAATTTGAATGAAAAGTTGAATTCTGGTATTTTGTTTGGGTTCGGTTATAAATTTTAATTATTATTTGTTTAGGAGATGTGATATTTGAGTGGAAAGAAAGCAAAATAGCGCGGGATTGCTAGTTTTGTAAAATGACAAGGAGTGACAAAACAAAACACAAAGTCACTCAATCTTTCAAAATATCTCTATTGCCCCTATCGACAATAGTTTCACACACATGAATAACTCATTAAAATGAACAGTTTAAGTTTATAAGGCAAACATCAAAGTGATTTTATTAAATAGAAAATAAAAAAACAAAATTTTCTTACATGTATGGAATTAAATTGGCTAAAAACTGCCTCGAAAACTGCAGTTAAAAAGCAGTTTTAGGTCAGGAAAACGGACTAAAATAAGCTAAATAATGGTGTGAAAACTGAAAAGCACCATAGAAACAAGAAAACGAAACAACCAAAGCAAAAATAAATTGCCAATTTATAAAAATACAGATTTTATATAAAAAACAAACAAAAAAGTTTGAAATTAGTTGTTGAATTCGCAACGAAAAATACAGATTTACTCACACATACAGTGGGAAAATGCAGTAGACAGATCGATTAGATGAAGGAAATCAGGTTTACATGAAATAAATAAAGTTTATTTCCTTTTTTGCTCTTCTAAAATGAAGAAAAACACAACCCGAGAGTCGCGGACCCATCACTTCCCGCCATGAAATACAAAAATTGTTTGGCCGCGCGGGTAAGGAGACTGAGAATGACGCGCAAGAATGGCTTCAAAATCCGCCATCTTTGGCTTCACTTTTTGATTACGTCAATGACTGAAGTCAGCCCAGTGAACTCTAATAATAACTATTATTAGATATATTAATAACTATTATTAGTATATATATAATAATAACTATTATTAGTTATTATTAGAGTTCACTGAGTCAGCCTTCCATGTATATAGTTCACTGATATTATGCGATTCAACCTCGTACCCAGGCTCTTACCTTCGCACGCCCTACGCGATTTTGCCATTTTGGAAATCGCAAAATCTGAGAATAAAGGAGGTTGTTTGCAACATGCATAGATTGCAAGTTGCCAAGAGACAACTCACACAGTAAGCGACTAAACGACAATTTATTAAGGCCAAACCTTTTTCAGAGAAGAAATATGAAAGAAACCCCATGCGACTAGGCGCGAAAGGATCGCAGGCGCATTGTGGTAATAGCAATAACAAACTACAGTATGGCGTGACTACTCCTTGAGATTAACATTTATGTAGCGCAATGTTACATGTGAATATGATCAAATGCGCTTTACATTAAGTATATTACGCTTACCAAATTACATACTGATGTTGATGAAAACAGGCCTGAACAATATTTTGCTGCCCATATTGTTCCTGGTTGTTAACGATATTGTTCAGCATTGTTCAGCCTGAACAATGGCAGCTGAACAATATTGTTAACAACCAGGAACAATATGGGCAGCAAAATATTGTTCAGGTCTGTTTTCAATAGCATTGTTACAGGCTAGGCGTTTTTTGCAGTGTACACTATTTTATCTTTTACAACAATTGTGATATTACAACTGTGTTTATCCTAACCAACCCTGTCAACTTTCCTTGTGGGAGGAACAAGAACACCCGGGGAAAACCCACGACGTTCCGCAGAGCGTTGACCGACTCTTTTCACATGAGTTCACATGAGTCCATATGAGTCCTTATATTCTTATTGTCTAGAGAGAGGTGATTGTTAGGGCTGAACTAAAAGATATGTTAAACGAGAACAGACACTGCCAATTTAAGCATAGTATATAAGTATAGTAATTTAAGTATAACTAAACAAGGTTGACGTTGGCGACTGGAGCGACAGTATGTTGGTCTTCGGCTGTAGGAAGAATGACAGGTGACTGGCAAGAGTTGGGAACATGGGTTGTTTACTTGTTTATCTGGTTCGAAAGGGGGGATGCGTTCTGGATCAACATGCATCACGTCGACCGATGGGTTAGGCAAACACGTGCAGTGATCGAGGTAAGAGTGAAGGACTAGCAGGACTCGAGGTGGGTGGGAGGCTTGAGACCGGAGATGTAGTAGACTTGTAAAGTTGATGGAGACGCGGAATTGATGGAGGAGACTTGTCATTGACGCCAAAGCATTATGTGGATGGGAGTTGGGAAGCGCGGGGGG